CTGCTACCGCCGCCGGACCGTCGCCGCCGCCGCCGCCTTCGGGGCCCGCGTTGTGGCCCCCGTTGTGTCCCGCGCCTTCTTCTTGTGCTGCCGCTCCGCCGCTCCCGAGGCCGCCCGCGTCATCGACATCCGCCGTTCCACCGCCGCCCGCTGCTGCTACCGCCGCCGGACCGTCGCCGCCGCCGCCGCCTTCGGGGCCCGCGTTGTGGCCCCCGTTGTGTCCCGCGCCTTCTTCTTGTGCTGCCGCTCCGCCGCTCCCGAGGCCGCCCGCGTCATCGACATCCGCCGTTCCACCGCCGCCCGCTGCTGCTACCGCCGCCGGACCGTCGCTGCCGCCGCCACCTCCGGGGTCTGCGCCGCTGTCGTTGTCGCCGCCGCTCCTAGACTGGTCTTCCTCATCCATAGAGGCTGAGCACTCCCCGCCGCAACCGCACCAAGACCGGTGGACCACACAGTCGCCGACCGCACCATGGTACTCACCTCTCACGCCCCATGCTTCGAGACTGCTAGGCGAGGGGGGAGATCCGCGGATCCGAGGACGCACGAGAGCGGAAGCGCGCACCATCGCCCAGCAACAGCTTTCTGCCCTATCGGTGGACCGGCAGTTGCCATCACTGCAGGACGATGCCGTCACCACGCCTCTCCCTCCGACCGAGATCACCATGGGGCTGCTGGCTCAAGCAAACGAAGACGTCCTCCTCTCCATGCTGGATGCTCGGCGAGTCATGAACGGCAAGACAATGCTCCGGCCAGGATTGGAGGGGGGCGGCGAGAAGGGGGGCGGAGGCGAGCAGCTCGCGAGGAGTGAGGGCGTGGTAGAGAGCACGGGAAAGCTGCCGGAGGTGGACACCGGCGAGGAGGGACGCATGGGGAATGGTTGGTCGATCGGTCCGTCTGAGCGGGGCGTTCCGCTCGGACTTGTGGCGCGTCTTGCGACGCGCGACGGCCTCGACTCAGCTGTGCGCGAGATGGAGCCGCCTGTCTTGCGACCCGACATGCCGCGCTGCCACGCCAAGGACCTCCGAGTACCCCAGACTTTCAAAGANGGAGGTGGACATCGGCGAGGAGGGACGCATGGGGAATGGTTGGTCGATCGGTTCGTCTGAGCGGGGCGTTCCGCTCGGACTTGTGGCGCGTCTTGCGACGCGCGACGGCCTCGACTCAGCTGTGCGCGAGATGGAGCCGCCTGTCTTGCGACCCGACATGCCGCGCTGCCACGCCAAGGACCTCCGAGTACCCCAGACTTTCAAAGACGCAAAGCAGAGCGAGTGTTGGATGTACTCACAGCATGACAGATTATTTCGAGTCAGAACTTTCCGAACAGATGGAGCGGGGAGATCCGGGGGTTCAACAGTTGGTATGGATTAGATTTGGTGGTACCAAATTTACCACATATT